GAGGCATTTGTTGCATCCAGTGGGGACATAATTATGGATTATAATGACTTATACTGTCTTTTTACGTGTTGTGTTGCGTATCGCGCCGCGTAAACATAAAACCATGTCTGCATTTGTGATCGGAGAAACAACAAACAACAAGCCTACTCTACACTGCTCAAAACTCGCGTTTGAATCATCAGTGGCAAATTATTTAAATATAAAAAACGTACTTACAGGCTGTGAGTCAGAAGCACCAGACTGTCCTTGCAAAGTTGGAACTGCCCAACTTTATAGAAACAGCCTTTGTGCCACAGACACGTTGTAGGCTACTAGTTCAGGAAACAGTCCTCATCCTCCATAAAATGCGCAGCACACATCTGAATATTTGGGTTGAACTGTTCTGGAACAGTGTTGTAAATACAACTTAACCACTGATTTCTAGTCGTGTCCTCTTTTGGAAGGCCAAACAAAGTAGTTTCGCTTTCGAAACACACAGTGACTCCACAACATGGCGGCAGTGGCAACAGTGAGAATAAAAGTTACGCCTTCTTTCTTTGCGTGAACATTTGGGCGGCGTTATGCAAATCTTCCCACATCGTCACGTACATGGCGGCAGTGGCAACAGTGAGAATAAAAGTTACGCCTTCTTTCTTTGCGTGAACATTTGGGCGGCGTTATGCAAATCTTCCCACATCGTGACGTAGACATGTGGGGGCGTGTTAGAACGAGCCGTTTTAGGTAGGCGTGGTTGACTCTTAACTTTTATAAAGAATATCTCTTTGGATTTGAGACTTTAATCTCTGCAACTTTACAGATCTTATTTATGCATCAAGAGCTTGTAACACTTCAAAGAGAAAGGAAAACTTGAAATTGCATCATACGACCCCTTTAATACTGATTTCATTTGATTGGTAACAGCCCTATTGTGTCTTATTATATTAAGTGAAATTATTAATAAAATGTAAGAATTTGATATGAAAGACGATGCATGCATTTAATACGGTTGAGGAAAAATTGGTCAAAAATGACCTGGAAATCAATTTAAAGAAATTTTAGTATGCAGTAAAACTTCAGTCACATAAAACGTAATTTCCCAACAACAAAATTGTGGCCAGTGAAAATGCTGAGTGGCTAGTAAATTTGGAAAACTACTAGCCACAGTGGCTGGTGAGCAAAAAAGTTACTGTCAAGCCCTGTATATATATATATATATATACATGTACAGTATGTGTATATATATATATATAGACATTAGTGCTGTCAAATGATTAATCGCATCCAAAATAAACGTTTTTGTTTACATAATATATTTATGTGTACTGTGTTTATTTATTATGTATATATAAACACACACACATTCAGTATATATTTTGAAAAAATTTACATGTATATACATTTATATATTTATATTATTATATTATATATAAATATATTTAATATATAAACATAACATATTTTTCTTAAATATATACATGCATGTGTTTGTATTTATACATACATAATAAATATACACAGTACACACTAATATATTATGTAAACAAAAACTTTTATTTTGGATGCGATTAATCATTTGACAGCACTAATATATACACACACATACACACAAACACACACACACTTATATATAGTTGAAAATAATAAGCAGACATTTTCAAGGTGAGAAATTTCAAGGACTCACGGGCAAGTGCTTTGCAGACGATTCGGCTGCGGCTGTTCAAGCAGCTTGTGTGGGTCCAGGAGCCGTTGCTGGACACCATGACTGCGCAGATCTGCGGCGTCTGCCGTGATAATTGTGGGCCTGAATTTGCATCCCAGCTAGAGAAGTCCAGTTCACTGCCATCATGCCAACCTGTGGGCTTACCTGTTGCAGAGATTAATAAAGATTTACATTAACTTTTTACATTACATAACTCTTCAACTCTTACAAAAGGAAACAGTGTGATTGAAGGCAGATGAAATCATTATTTCACCATTGGTGTCAACGTTGAGCGCCAGCCACACTCGGCTTGTGATGGAAGGGTTCTTATTCATGTAGTCAGAGACAAAATCATTCTCCTCTTTACTCTTGATGGTTAACAGCTTGGAGGAAGAATCTGCCAGTTATACAGGAGAAATACAAGATGTTGTTAGACACTTTCAGGTTGATTTTGGATGGTGTATAGTAGTGTTAATCTTGTCAGCCATTTTTAATTTAGTCTTTTAAATTATTCTTAGTCCTGTGTCAAATGTACTTTTTTGTTGTTGTCCTACTTAGTCAACCATGTCCTGGTTTAGTTTAGTAAAGTTTTAGTCAACTAAAATTGTCTGAGCATTTTAGTCTAGTTTTAGTCGGAGATCGCTAAACTCCAGCATGTTTTTCAGTGTTTTCAGATCATCGTCGACGTTTCTTATAAAGAGCAAGCGTGTGTGTGTGTGGTTGCCAGATTGCAAAAATTAAGCTAAACGTAGAAAACGTATGCTTAGATGGCAGAAAACGTATTCTTTTTTTCTACGAATCTCTGATTTGGGAATTTGAACTGGCAACCAAACACATGAAAGCTCGCGCAGGAGAGGCGTGTACAGCAGGGTGCAGTAATGTTTTGTCTCCTTTTTTGGCCAAAAATAAAAAGATTTTGGTATTGTTTTTATTTTTCAAAATACATCTTTTATCGTCAACGATATTGCATGTTGATACAGTCACAGTTATTGTTTATTGACCTTATGGTCATCTCGTCATCGTCTCGTTTTAGTCATGGGAAAAAGCTCATCAACCATTTTTCGTCATAGTTTTCGTTAACAAAAACAGTTTTTAGTGATTATGTCAGGGGTTTGGATTTGAGAAACTGGTCCTAGAACAGTTTAGAAAGGAAACCATCTGCTGCTTTTTGCACAGACGGTGAAACTTTTGCACTAGCATTTGAATGTTTTATCATTGAGGTTGGCTGCATGTGTATTGTCTCTTCCTGACCAGAAAAAGCTGCAAATTGGTTGTGATACAAAGTGAAACTTGTTAAAGACACAGCAATACAAGATATATACACTCACCCAGATTCTGACACACATTCTTGGCGCTCTCCATGGTAAAGACAGAGTAGTTGTACATGTTGAAAGCATAACAGTGATCTTTGAACAGGACCCACGAAAAGTGATCATCACTCTTGGGACAACTGCTGCTGGATTCAGAAGAGAGATATGCAACAGTTTCTGGGGGAAAAAAAACAAAACCAGTTTGAGATTGATCTTTTCAGAACAACAGTTGTGTTACGTCATTGCGTGTACACGACAACGATGTAGTCAAAAACGGAAAAGTTTTTCCCTTGCGTTATTAAAAAGTTTCATGTATACACGGCAACGTTTTCAAAACGATTAGTGTTTACACATATCCGCGAAAATGGCCAGAAATGCTGTATTATGTATGTCAGGCCAGTAGTTGGCGCTGTCACCTTGTTAGTAAACAGTACCTGTAGGGAAGTCACATATGACACATTAAGACACATACTGAGCATGTCTACATACCCAACACGTACTACGCACGCGCATGACGCCACCGTTTTCAAAGATTCCCGTATTGGGTGTTTACACGGAAACGATAACGGTGGCGTTTTCAAAAACGTGCACTTTGAAACCAAAATATGCATTTTCAGTCCCCAAAACGCTGTTGTCATGTAAATGAACAGGCAAAACGCATAAAATGTTTCCCCCTTTTGGCTGAAAACGTTGTCGTGTAAACGGCCCCTTACTCTCACTGATGTGGTTGTAACAGATCTTTGAACAGGACCCACGAAAAGTGATCATCACTCTTGGGACAACTGCTGCTGGATTCAGAAGAGAGATATGCAACAGTTTCTGGGGGAAAAAAAACAAAACCAGTTTGAGATTGATCTTTTCAGAACAACAGTTGTGTTACGTCATTGCGTGTACACGACAACGATGTAGTCAAAAACGGAAAAGTTTTTCCCTTGCGTTTTTAAAAAGTTTCATGTATACACGGCAACGTTTTCAAAACGATTAGTGTTTACACATATCCGCGAAAATGGCCAGAAATGCTGTATTATGTATGTCAGGCCAGTAGTTGGCGCTGTCACCTTGTTAGTAAACAGTACCTGTAGGGAAGTGACGATTATATGACACATTAAGACACATACTGAGCATGTCTACATACCCAACACGTACTACGCACGCGCATGACGCCAAACGTGCACTTTGAAACCAAAATATGCATTTTCAGTCCCCAAAACGCTGTTGTCATGTAAATGAACAGGCAAAACGCATAAAATGTTTCCCCCTTTTGGCTGAAAACGTTGTCGTGTAAACGGCCCCTTACTCTCACTGATGTGGTTGTAACAGATGGCCCCTTCTTGGGCTGCATGACAGTTGACGGCCGTCCAGGTGCCTTTGGAGTCCACAAACACACACTTTTCCTCAGAATCAAGGCCGTCGTTTACAAATCCATCTGGTTTGAATTTTACTGCACTCCCATCTGACCACTCAAATGGCCATCCACTTACCTAAAGAAACAGCCAGGCAAAGTACATGACAATGGCAACAACTGAGAGCAAAAGACTGAGCATACAGCTATTAATTGCTGTCAGTTATTACTATTATCACAAAAAAATTGTGTACATCTTGTTTGGAGAGGCCAATCCAGAGTGAAAAGCCATCCCGTTTGGCGACCAGTGCCATGTTGTCGTTAGTGGTTTTGTCAGGAATACTAGCAAGATGGCCTCTGTTGCGTCCACACTCTTGCAATGCCTGATACCAATCCATTCTTTTGGCCACCCGACGGTAACTTATGCCATCCGGAGTATTAACATCAACCACACCCTTCATGAACTCCTCTTTGGTATCTGTTAAAGACATTTTTGCAAGTCTATAAATAAAATGGAATTCCTTTATATGGAATATACATTTTATAATAAATTATATACAATAGTTGCCTCTTTATTACAAACAGTTGCATTTATTTTAATTCAGTTGAGGTCATAAAAACAACATGCACACTAATTAATGATAAAAATAGAAAATAAGTTTTAAGACTCCTTTCATGTCATATCAATTACTTATTTTGCAGTTTAATGCTAAATAAAAACATATTTTTGGTAAAAACATATGAAAACTGAAACTCATTGGTGTTGCTTTACCATTTTCAATCTTGCACACCACAATACTCCTCTGTTTGAAGGCATTGAAAAGACGTTGATTTGTTATCATTTCCCACTCTCCGATTAAGTTGAGACCAACTATGAAGGACTCTGTGAGGTTTGGTCTTAGACCATATTTCCAGTTAGAAAACTGCACATTGCTGCCATCTAGCCACTTCAGCTGCTCATCTAAAGGAAACACATCATACAGGACAAAAATGAACAGCTAGTTGATACTTTCCTACCCAATTTTCCACATAAATGCTGGAAAACACTACATGACTTTTGGCCAAATTTTTTGCGCCGGGTTACAATCTTGAGAAGTCAACACTAGTTGCCGAAAGTCAGATCCGGTCTTCAGATTGTGGTCAGTAGGAGTTGACAGATTTCACAGAAAATCACATTTTCTGTGACTCTGATTTTTTAGCCTCAGGCTATGAATCCATCCAACTGGAAGAAATCAATCATGTTTGATATTTAGAGTTAGAGTTTGTTGTGTTCGGAACGACTCGAAGGTCTGGTCGTGTGTTCTCGTTTAGTGTATGATGGCCATTTTTTCTCTCGTACCATTTACAAAGTCGTCAAGTGTTTGATAACCTAGTGTTTTAAATTCTCATCAGATTTTAAAAGCCATGTAGTGTATTACAGCCTTAACCTGGAAACATTTGGTGTAAAATTGTGAATGTTTAGACCAGGGCTTTTCAACTCGGCTCCTGGAGGGCCGGTGTCCTGCAGAGTTTAGTTCCAACCCTAATCAAACACACCTGATCAAGCTAATCAAAGTATTCAGGACTATTAAAAAAATGATGAACAGGTGTGTTGGATTAGGGTTAGAAGTAAACTATGCAGATCACTGGCCCTCCAGGACCGGAGTTGACTAGCCCTGGTTTAGACTGATAAGAAAATAGAACTTTGGGATGTGATCATCTTACCTGTCTTGTTTTTGTTCATTCCCAGCCACACAAACCTGACTAAATTTTTGAATGGCTGTAACTGTTGCCTGATGAAATCGTTCTCTGCCTCATCACGGATTGCCAGGATTTCTCCGGCCCCGGCTAAAACACACACAGTGCAGCTAAATTCAGTTGTCAGTTCACCTTTTAGTGCTTAATCTTGTTCTGTACACACATGTACTCCAGTAAATTACTGACTCCCAAAAAGTGACAATCTCTTTGCAGAAATTGTACACAGTGTGCACAGAAACAAACTAAACATCTAGTTGTTAATGACATATTTAAACGCATTGCAGAGTTTTGGTGTAAGAAACCACAGGGAAGGAGGTGCGTCTTGACTCAGTGTTGCCAAATCTTGCTATAAAAATCAGCAAATGAGAACAAGCCTATGTTACCTTGGAAATAAGCTACATACCAAAATATTGTTACCTGCACCTGCCTACACTATTATCTCTATAAAATGGATTGTTTATAAGCCGAGGCCAAAAAACAAGCGTCGCTTATAATAAGTGGACATGGCAACCCTTCAAGATTATGCTTCCAAACATAAAAAAAAAACAACTTGACGGCTCTGCTGACAGTGCTTTTGTTAAAATCATTAAACATAGGCATTTTTACAACATCTTCGACCACGGAATTGAAACTTTGAAAAGACACAAAAAAGAAACACGAACAACATGAAAAGTCCCAGATATGATCCATTCATACCAAGAGACATGCAGATCTGCTGATCAATGATGTCGTTGTTGCCCCATCTGGAGGCCCCCAGCAGTAACGTGTAGCAGTTCTCCTTAAAGCGGATCCAGTTCTGTCCATTGCTTTTGTGAGGACATTTGGCCGAATCTACTTCAGGTGTGACGGTCTCATCTGTTATGTAAAAATGCATTTTTAAAGCAAAACCTGTGCAAGTAAATATTGAAAAGCAGAGGTGGCATTTATGAATTGAATCCTCACTGTGTGGGATGTGGCAGATCACTCCTGAAAGCTCATCCTCACACTCGGTTGCCTTCCAGAAACCGTCACTGTCCAGATACACACAGGCTCCTTTGGTGGCTTCAGAGGTCCAGCGGTTAAACTCAGTGTGGCTGTGGTCTGTCCAGCGGTAGTGCTCCCCTTCCTTGATGAAAAAATAAATAATAATTATAGTAATAAATAGGGATGGTCATGACATTAAACTGTTACAGTATGTAATCAATCAATTCTGTTCTTTTGAATGTTCTATTCATCAAAGAATCTTGGGAAAATGTATCATGGTTTCTACAAAAATTATAAGCAGCAGCACAACTTTTTTCAACATTGATAATAATACTACTGTATATTTTACTTGTACATCAAATCAGCATATTAGAATGATTTCTGAAGGATCATGTGACACTGAAGTAATAAAGCTTTGTACCACAGGAACAAATGATATTTTAAAATATATTATTTACAATAGAAAACAGTTACTTTAAATGTTGTTTTATTGAACTTTTCAATCATCAAAGAATCATGAAAAATTACATAATTTTTTTTAAATAGAAAACAATTTTGTAATAATATTTTAATAATTGATTTATTGATCAAATAAAAGCTTACCAAAATGTAATAGTTTATACTTTTATTTTGTAGTTCATTTAAAGATCACGGGAATTTCTTTTCTTTTGTTTGACTAGCACATTTTCCTCCCACTATATTTTATATACTAAAGGGCTTGTCTTTTTTTATTTTATTTTTTTATAAAATTTTAAATGTTGATTGGAGAATGGCTGCTGAAAATTAACCTTTGACATCACAGGAATAAATTACATTTTACAATTCTAATAGAATTTTTTTTTTTTAATTGTAATGATATTACCGTTTTTATGGCATTTTTGCTTAAATAAACGCAGCCTCGGTGGCTTCTTTCAAAAACATAAAAAATGTTACAGACCGCCAACTTTCAAATAGATCTTCACTCACATCTTCACTGAAGAGTCCAATCCAGAGGGGCTGTCCTCTTCGAGAGACTTCAACTGTGAGCACTGCTTGGACATATGCGTCAGGTACGCTGGCCAAGTCCATATTGTAGCTCCGGCACAACTGAAGAGCCTCTATCCATGTTAAATTGCCTTGCTGTACCACCTTAAATGTATGATTATGAACTGTGAAATCATCCTTATGCTCAGGTTCCTTTTGTTCATCTGGGGAAATTGTCAATTGGGTGTTAATCAACAGAACACTATTTCATATAACATGATTGAGACAATCGCTGGTGCCTCGTACCTGCAGGATGCTGGCAGATGCTGAGATTCTGGCGGTCGGAGCAGGTGGTGTAGTCCCAGGTGCCCATCATGTCAGAATGATCATCATTATACATGTAGGCACAGAGCTCCATGGAGTCCTGTTCAAACGTCTGCCGTGCAAATCAAGAGGAAAAAGAGAAACTCTCAGATTAAGTGTATCATGATGAGCAGAAAATGTACTTAATGTACAGCTTATGCAATTATACATAAAGCCATCTGAACACCAGATACGGCGTATGGGAGATGAAATAAAAACTCAAAAAAGAAGAAAAAAAGTTTCCCACATTTGAAAATGAAAACTTATACGACACGTATGACTTTTGTGCTTTCATCAAGAAAATAAAAAGATGTTTTGAGGAATGTTCATGATGCTCTTTTCCATATGATGAAAATGAATGAAGGCAGAGGCTGTCAAGCTCCAAAAATGCACTTTTTGTTGGTTTTTAAGTTACTGCACGACTTCAGAATACCATTCTGAGTCGGATGGATCAATATTATGGTGCTCTTACTATTTACACCACCATTCAAAAGTCTGGAGTTAGTGAGATTGTTTAATGTTTTTGAAACAAGTCAAGGCCTTCACCAGTAAAAAAGTAATATGTTTAAAATATATTTATTTCATACTAAGTATAGTTCAAATCTATTACCATATTAACTGCCATATCAATCGAGACTACTGATATAAAAATGATAATTTGGAGTACTACTTGTGCACAATGCACATTTCTTCCCTGCATGCACCGGACGTTGGATTTTGGTTACACAACCTAAAAACAACAAAATATCAAAGTCAGCTGACATTGGTATCGGACAAAAAATTTACCGTGTTCGTAAAATTAGATGTTGAATTGACATTGAATTTTGGTCACCCGACGTCGCAAACCAAAATGTAATCAAATATCAACGTCTTATGACGTTGTGTGTCTGCTGGGTTAACATTAAGTCTAAAATGGGTTTGGGGATTGTATGATCTTTGAATAATATCAGTCTTTAAATGCAAGATATTTCAAGTGTACCTGCCACTTTAGCACAATCAAATATACTTCAGTATGTCTTTAGTTGGACCTCAGCACTACTTCCACACAATTAAAGTGCATTAAGCACAAAATTAGTTGTTTCAATTTAGCAGACTGTAAATATACTAGTCTAATAGTTTAGTATACTAAAAGTACAATTACAGGGTATTATTAAGTACATAAACATGTAAATGCATTTGTAGTATACGTAGCATAAAATAAATGTATTTCAAATACATTTTAGTATATTTATTTTTCACTATGGCTGATTAAAAAATACAGTAAAAACAGTAATATGGTGAAATATTATTACTATTATACTGTTTTCTATCGTAATGTATTTTAAAATGTAATTTATTTCCATAAGGGCAAAGCTGCATTTTACGCAGCCATTACTCCAGTCTTTAGTGTCACATGATCTGGTCATGCATTAATATTTTTGTGGAAACTGTGATATTTGTTATTCTTTGATCAGTTCAAAAGAACATAATTTATTTGAATCTGAAATCTTTTGTAACGTTACAAACATCATTACTGTCACATTTTGATCATTTTGATCAATTTGATCAATAGCAGAGCCTTTATTTTTGGTTAAACGAGTGTGTGTGTGTTATTGTATTGCAAGTTATTGTAAACATGTGAGGAACAAAACTATTCTCTGTACAATCTATAGCATGCCACAAATGCTGCACAAAATATTTTTTCGAGTATTTCTCAAGTGCTTTGATCAGATCTCCAGATCTTTGTGGTCAATTATATAACTTTCATAGCAGATGGACACTTGCATTGATGAATATGGGTCGTAACTGGCCATGCAGGAGAGGATTGAAGTTCAGATATGCAACTGGCGAGTTGTCCACCCACTGAGTGTCATGAAGTTTGAACTTTAGGCCAATCCAGACTTTCTGAGGCTGTCCGGGTAACTCCGGTAACATTGTAGTGATGAAATCTAAATGAAGGAAAGATGCACGGCACAGACAGATAGAGAGAGAGAGAGTCAAGCAACATTACTAAGAGTACTAAAAGCATGAATAAATATGTTTTATATTAAAATGTGTTCTCGGTGGTGGATTTTTTCCATAGTATATTAATCAAACACACCCTGTTCAACTTGGTCAGATATGGTGAGCATAGTGCCTGTCAGTGACTTGCAGAACTCATTGGCGTCTTTGAAGGTTTGGAAATAAGACTGGGATAAAACCCAATAGCACTGCAAGAGATGTATACAATGAAGTCATTAACCAAAAACACGTGTTTCAAGTTCAAAGGATCTGACTGGCTGTGTGTGTATGTCAGACCTTTTTTCTGAAGTGCCTGGAAGTGCTCGCACATGGGGTGCTGGCAGGGGGCGGTTCTGGGCTTCCTTTCTCCGCAGAAGTGACGTTCAGTGTCTCGCACACAAACGGCTGTTTTTCATTACATTTGCCACTGAAACCTACGGAGAAAAAAGATTAAAGAGGATCGTCTGAGTTGCTTCGTAAATCAGAATTGTTGCTGTCAGTTTAGAGGGGAGTTTTTCCAAATTATAAAGTCTTATAAAAGTTATTTTTAAAAAATAAAATAAAAACAAATGTGTCTTTGTCTTTCTTATCCTCTATTATAAAAGCAAATGCTTAAAAATGCTTTATTCTTGTTTCTTGTACAAAAAAGACCTGATCATTTGATAAGAATAATTATATTTGGGTGAAATAATGGAACAAAATTAATAAAATTAAAAAAACAAGTTAGTAATTGATTTTAATATCTGTAGTTAAAAAAATGAGCACTTTAAAACAGCAAAGACCAATTCTGTTTAAGTATTTTATTACAGTAAATATTAAGGTAAATGGCACCAACTGCTACAAAATTCTATCATAATCATGTCCTTGCAAAGTGAAGAAAATGGTTGTCTTCACTGAGGCAACATTATGAAACCTGTCATTAAAAGCATCTAAAAGTCTTAATGTTTTATTAAATTTATACTGACACTAGTGTTGTAGTACTTGAGACTGGTCTGAAGACCGTTTTTTGAAGGACTTGGTCTTGTCTCAAACATGGTCTCAGACTGACAGGACTCGTAATTTTATTTCAAGACCACAACTGCAGGGATATCACTACATTTCTGGTGCATTGTCCAATTTATTTGTTAACATCATTACTGTGATTGGATGTAAAACTGCTTCAAATGAAATCAATAACTTATTTCTAATTTGATTTCTTTTGATAAAAAATTCACCAAAATTAATCCAAATTCCCAACAAATGTCAGATATGATTACAAAAAAGTACTTGTATAAGATCGTTTTTATATTATAAGATATATAATTGAGCAGTATCACAAGAGCTGTTTTCTTGAGCACAATGTGATATTGATTTTATTCAAACATTCAACAAGAAATTAATTGTAAGTGTATTACATTTAGACACTGCTATTAACACAAGTCTATTGGCAATGGAAATAGTTCCAATCAAATCCACAGCAGAACTGTTGTGTGTTTCCGAGCAACACACAGCTGTGTTGCGTTGCTGAATTCGAATGAATCAGCGAAATAAATGATTCCATGACTTACTCATTAAGTGATTTGCTGCCACCTAGCTATCTGGTGGTTTTAGTTTCATATTTAAAAGCATTTTATTTTTCCATCATATTTCTATATCCAAAATGTTATTTTCAAAATCTCAACAATATTTATGCTGTAACATTCGGATGCGACTTCCGTGCCACCTCTGCAGTGCTAACATCGCTGCAGCCTTGGTCTTGTCTTGCTCTCAACACACTCTGGTCTTGGTTTCAATTTAGGTGGTCTTGACTACAACACTAACTGACACTTTGTTCAGCTAGTAGAAAAAGATAACACTTTAGAGTAGGGAACACATATTTACTATTAACTAAGAGTTTACCTAATTTGCGGCTTAGGTATTAAGGGATCTAAAATATAGTCATGCAGAATAAGTCATTAATATGTGCTTTATACAATAAGTACTAATAAACAGCCAATATGCTAGTAATATGCATGCTAATAAGCAACTAGTTAATAGTGAGAATTGGTCCTTAAAATAAAGTGTTACTGAAAAAACAACAAACAAAGGTTGCATCCTGCTCCCCAAGTGATTCATGGGTCTTTCAACATTCACAGGAATTTCCATTGTGCTACGACTAGGAAAGTCATTTGAATTAGCCATGAAACATCTTGTCAACATGTCAAGCTGCCCCAAAACAAACTCTGTAAGATGTGGAAATGACTTTAGGAATCACAATGAGACTCTCATACCAGGTTCAAATGACATGGGAGTGATAGAGGGGCACCTTCCCAGAAACGCTGAATAATAGTAGTGCATGGGGCTGAGCCTGCAAACACACACACACACATACTAATAAATGATAAATAAAAGAGAGGTTCATGCCAGTAATCGTGCCTCTTGATGAGGTTTGGATAAGGTATGAAAACCAGAACTTACATAAAGGGAACATGAGGACCAGGGTAACGAAGGTCTGCCCACCACTTTAAATTCACCTGTTCTGAATGCTAAAGATCATAAAAAATACATTCATTACTGGATGATATGAACAACCATATACTCACTCGTATTAGTATTATCCATTTCCCAACAGACTGACACTTTATTGTGGATCAAACAATGTCCATTTATGAGCATGGGTATTGTTTCTTACAATACTTCCAAAAGAACATTAAAAAAAAAAAAGTTTTATCATTCAAACTTAATTCATACAGTATTTGCTACTGTTCAAAATAGAGTTTGGGGTCAGTAAGATTAAAAATAAATAAAAAATTAATACATTTATTCAGAATTTTATTGATAAACTAGTGACAGTAATTCTGTTCTTCTGATGAGTTTCAAAAAAAAAAAAACTAGCGGAAGTGAGAGAAAAGTGTTTATTATGTTTGAAATATGGATATTTATATTACAAAAACGCATGGATTCACTACAGGATGCGTTTTATTACGGATGTGCACACTTTATTTCACGTCTTCTGAACTGTTGACAAAAAGCACCCACTTACACCCACTGAAAGGCTTGGAATAGCCAGGACCATTTTTAATATCACTCCGATTGGATTCGTCTGAAAGAAGAAAGTCACATACACCTAGGATGCTTTGAGGGTGAGTAAAACACAGGCTAATTTTTGGGTGAACTAACCCTTTAAAAATCTTACTGATGAACAGCAGTGTATTACTTTTTAAATAATTAAAAAAGTTGTATAAGTTTTAAATAGTTTTAAATTGCGTTTTAAATAACAAAAGAAAAGAAAATTCCTAATATTTTTGGCAGTAACATTTTGCGCTCTGTCTATGCATAATAAAAAGTTAATGTGCTTTTTGTATGGTTTACTTGTGTTTTATGCATTTTCTGATCACTATGTGTCGGCCTCATTTGAAGGCATCACCAGCTCTCTGTTTTGACGTTCTGTGGAGATGCAGCCTTTAATTTAAGGAGTCAGACCTCCCCAAACCCCCTGGCAATTCAGGGTTTATAAAAACATCTGCACCCTCTTACCTCAAAAAGTCGTTCCTGTAGGCGGCGTGCGGCATTAAGGGTGTCGGGTGCGGCGAGTTTGCTGCTGTTGCTGCTGCAGTACAAGACGGCCTCCTCGAAGGACAACTTTGGCTCTGCTACAAACCAGAACTCCTGGCCGTCTATAAACACTGATGTGTTATGGTGCCCATCTGTTAGTAGTGAAACACGAAACATGTCACTGATTTGCAAACCAAAAAATTACATAATCCATGATGTATTTGGGCATTTGATTTGAAATGAAAGTTCTACCTGGGTTGTACCACTCTGGTGTTTTTGGTGTTTGACCTAGAGAATGATACAAAGACCATGAATATATACAGTGCCGTGAAAAGGTTTTTGCCCCCTTCCTGTTTTGTTTATTTTTTGCATATTTGTCACACTTAAAAGATTCAGATCATCAAACTAATTTTAATATTACACAAAGATAATGCAAGTAAATACAAAATGCAGTTTTTAAATGATGATTTCATTTATTAAGGGAAAAAAGCTGTCCAAACCTACCTGGCCCTACGTGAAAAATTAATTGCCCCCTCCTGTTAAATCATGAAAGAAATATTTTTTATATAAACATGTTAGTTAGACTTTTGTGGCTCCAAACCTGTGTATGCTATTGTTATTTTTTTTTCATGGAACTTAATGAAATTCTTAACATACTTGTCGCTCTTTTACAGTACATACAATTGAAGGGGAAGAAACTTTTCAAATTCATAAACTTGAAAACAAACAAAGTCTTAGTCTTGGGTGTTGTTGTCTTGAGTGTTGTTTACCTCGTGGTATCTGACACACCCATTCCAGTTTGGCGTTGCAGTGAAAGACGCTGGGATAAAAAGGCCGTGGAGGAACATTATGAAACAGGAGGAAGAGAAATGGCTTGTAGGTTCCTTTCAAAGTCTGATGATACAAAAAAAAGGTAAAATATTACAAGCTGCCTGAATTCAAACAGGCCTTAGATTTCTACTGTGTAATCTACTATTCTAAATTCTTAATATTGTCTGTTTGATGCCTCTGATATGTTTTTGAATCTGTTTGATGACAATCTATCGATCTGATTCATTTCCCATCTCTCCCTACTCCCAAACAGAAGGCAAAAGCCGTATGAAGGTCATTCTAGATTTCTGATTATTGACTGGCTGTTGGCTGCCAACAGCGATGGGCTGTTTTGTGTCAATTACTGCCCCCATCCCAACATTTACATGTCCAAATGAAACAAACATCAAACACAAACTGAATACTGCTGTGCAAAAGGCTTAGGCCATTAGAATTTTCACCAACAAAAATGGTTTTAAGTCAGTTATTTCTATCTTTTGCTGTAGTGTGTCAGTAGGAAATATCAGTTTACATTTCCAAACATTTCTTTAGCCATTAATTGTAATAATCCAGTGAGATTTTTGTCTGACAACTGTCCACACAGAGATCTGATCTGATCATCATCCACTCTGTCTGGAATGACATGAAGAAACAGAAATCTTCCTGCAAAGCTACAGTACTGTTAAAAGTTTTAGGCACTTGTGTAAAAATGCTGTAAAGTGAGGATGCTTTCAAAAATAATGTCAGAAATAGATTTTATTTTGTAAATAGATTCTATTAACTAAATCAAATCAACATTTGGTGTGAGCATCCTTTGCGTCTAAAGCAGCTTTTGCCCTCGGTGCACACAGTAGTTTTTCAGGGAGCTTTGCAGGTAGGTTTCTTGAAGCGTCTTGGAGACGTTGCAACAGTTCTTCTGGATTTAGTCCGTCTAAGTTTTTCCTGTTTCTTCATGGTATTCCAGACAGACTGGTGATGATGAGATCAGATCTCTGTGTGGAGCACTGTCTTTTTTCAGACTCCTTGTGCACAGGGCCGTCCTTAGCTGACGCGGGGCCCGGTGCGAGGTAGGGAGCGGGGGGTCCCCCTCGGTCCGTTTGCGATCGCGTTCTGGGGGGGTTTCCCCCTCTCGGTCCGTTCACCACGGGGCCCCCTCAAGCGACCGCACCAGTTGCACCCCCCTAAGGACGGCCTTGCTTGTGCATAAAACAATCTCATTGAATTATTGCAATTAATGGCAAAAGGAATGTTTGGAAATGTAAACTGATATTTCCTACTGACACACTACAGATACACAAAAGACAGACTGACTTAAAACCATTTTTGTTGGTGAATAAAAATTACTAATGGCCTAAAACTTTTGCACAATAGTGTATATTCACCAACTATAATGCTGTTTTTTTTTGTCATACTAAAACTGCATATTTATGCTATAATGTCTGTCATTTTAATGAAAAAATAATAAAATACTACATGTAGGTAAATGTAATTTACATCAACAAATATGGTAAAACCTTTTAACTTTTAACTGAAATGTAACTTTTACAGTAAAATGTTGTTAAAATTAAAGAGTAAAAAGTCAAAGTAAATAGTAAGTCATCTTATAATTTACAGTGAGAAACAGGAAAAATCTCTGTGACATATTACATTTCAATGTATCTTATTTAAATAGTTTCTTTTAAATGTTTAAATGTTTCCTATTTTTGTGATCAGTTACGCACATTATAGTGTTTAATACTACATTTTAGGTTGTTTAGATAACATTTATTGTGTTATTTTAGTGTTTTATAGCAATGCCCAATGACAAATGAATCTATATCAGTTTTGTGTGCTTACTGTCAAATAAAATTAAGGCAGTGGCTATTTACACTATGTTAAAATAGCAAGATTTTCTGCTATTTATACTACTTATTGCAAATAGTGGCAATTATTTGCACCTCAGTATTGTAGTACATTATAAAACAGTACGCAATAATGACGTATTGAGTGTAAATTATAATTTTAATTCAAATTATTAAATGAATGCCACCTTATTGGGACAATAAAGCCCTCCCTACACCTACCCTAACCCTACCCGATACTTTATTTTCAACTTTTTGATTATTTCCTTCATTTTTATTGAAAATAAATGCCTTTCCGATGTGACATGAGATTTGAAAAGGGAGAAAAAAAGTTCAGCAAAAGACGGGTTCGCACTCGGGTCATAAAGCACACGCCTTACCATCTACGCCACTGAGACTGATGTTTCAGAAGCGTCTTTTTTCAGTGTTGAGTATCCCAATCACACGTTGGTGGGTGGAGTTAGTGTAAATAGCCTCTACCAACAAGTCGGGCTATTTGCACTTTAGTGTAAATAGACACTCCGTAAAAGATTAAAATGATTTAAAATATCAAGAAATATGTACAGCTACCCAAGTAAAGTTTTTAACTTGTAAATACGTGTTTCACTAGAGAGGACCCAGAATAGCATGTATCATTTCTTCTGTTGTTTGTCAGGATAATATTGCATAACAATGCAGTTTTGTGATGTTATGAGAGGTCAGGGGTCATGCATGTTTTGAGAGTCATGTTTACCACACCTTAAAGGCAACGCAGTCCCTGTTATAGACATCATCTTCATTGAATTCCTCAGGAAAGATCATCATGGAGACCTGTTACCAAGCAGCAGAAACAAATGACAACACCTACACATTTCACACTTTTAGCTTTAGTCAACAAGAAATAAAGGAGCAAATGATGGCTCCGATCACAACTCAATTTTGTCTTTAATTTGTTCAGAAAACATCATATGCTAGTGACTCACTGGACGCCCATCACTCCACTCCCAGTTATTGTTGTTATTTGGATTTCTGCGATTTAGTCCCACCCAGAAAAAACGATTATCACTGTATAGAGATAACAGACAGCACAAGTAAAAGTCAATAAATGCCACTGCCCTTGGTTTAGTGTGTGGGGGAATATGATAATGGGAGTTAAAAACTGTCCTATCTGTACCTGATAGAGTCTCTCAGGATGTAATGTAACGCTTGCATATCTTTAGCCTCAGTGAAGCTGGGCAAATGCCCCCCTAGTGCCTCACAGAAACGCTCCGCCTCTTCCCACGAGCGCTTCCTGGTCAAACGCTCCTCGTGAAACACCTGCAGACACATTCAAACAGATGTTGATTAGATATAACTAGAAATGGCTTCATTGTCTTGACTCGGCTTCTATTGTTTTAGATGAATACCAGCTGAACACACCATGTAACAGTACTTTAGGCCTTCCTTTGAGACCCATCCTGGTGCACAGGAAGCATTGAGATTGGGCTCAACTGGATCTGGGGTGGGTTGGACCATTGATTTGATGGGTTTCTTACAGATTCTGCCAGCTTTGAACAGAGTGCAGTTCTTAACAGCCCACTGGCCCAAAGGATTCCCAGTAGACATCACCATACAGCCACTGGCGAAAGCTGGAACACATATTTACATTCAAACGTAATGCTAAATATTTTAAATTATGATATTTAAAAAGTTGCAGGGTATCCACGGGATTTTTAAAATCAAATTTAAGACTTTATTTAACACCTGCACAAAAAAAAAACAAAGAGTACCATATGAGCGGGTAGGGCAACGTCTATGGTAACATTAAACGTAAAATGACCGTAAAAAGCTTGATTTACAGTTAAAATACAGGTTTTCACAAGAACAAAAAGTTTTATCAAATGCTAAACTTCACATTTCAGCCATTAAACCCTTTTTAAGAAAAGGGATGAGTCAAAAGTATCAATTATTATATTAATTTAATAACATATAAATAAATCTTAGTGTTTTAATTGTTTATATTTTTATAATGCATTAGCTTCTTGTCGAAACACCGTTTCAATTTTCAAACTGCACGTTTGCTGCGTAAAATTCTGAACAAAAACAGTAGACGGGCTTATTATAAATGCAAATCCATTCTCGGTAAGCAGGTGGCGCTTTCAGAAGAGCAGAAATATAGCGGTTTGCAGAGTAACCACAGTAGACAAAGCGGCACAGCACCTGACTTTGAAACTCATATTTATTCAATCAAATTATAACCTTTTTGATGTTTAATCGTCACATTAAAGGGATAGTTCACTCAAAAATAAAACATTCTGTCATTAAAGGAGTAGTTCACTTCCAGAACAAAAATGTACAGATAATGTACTCACCCCCTTGTCATCCAAGCTGTTCATGTCTTTCTTTCTTCAGTTGTAAAGAAATTATGTTTTTTGAGGAAAACATTTCAGGAATTTTCTCCATATAATGGACTTCTATGGTGCCCGCGAGTTTGAACTTCCAAAATGCAGTTAAAAATGCAGCTTCAAACGGCTCTAAGCGATCCCAGCCAAGGAAGAAGTGTCTTATCTAGCGAAACGATCGGTCATTTTCTAAAAATAAATTACACTTTATATACTTTTTAACCTCAAACGCTCGTCTTGTCTAGCTCTGCGTGAACTCTGTGCATTCCGGTTCATGACAGTTAGGGTAGGTCTAAAAACTCCCATCTCATTTTCTCCTCCAACTTCAAAATCGTCCTACATCGCTGCAGACGTACCGACCCAGTCTGGGTCGGTACTTCTGCAGCGATGTAGGACGATTTTGAAGTTGGAGGAGAAAATGAAATAGGAGTTTTTTCGACCTACCCTAACTGTTTCGAACGGGACTGTACAGAGTATGCATGCGTATTGCAGAGTATTACAAGACGAGCGTTTGTGGTTAAAAAGTATATATTTTTTTATTTAATTTTTTTAGAAAATGACCAATCGTTTTGCTAGATAAGACCCTTCTTCCTCAGCTGGGATCGTTTAGAGCCGTTTGAAGCTGCATTTAAACTGCATTTTGGAAGTTCAAACTCGCGGGCACCATAGAAGTCCATTAAATGGAGATAATTCCTGAAATGTTTTCCTCAAAAAACATAATTTCTTTACGACTGAAGAAAGAAAGACATGAACATCTTGAATGACAATGGGGTGAGTACATTATCTGTACATTTTTGTTCTGGAAGTTAACTACTCCTTTAATTACTCACCCTCATGTCGTTCCAAACCTGTAAGACCATCGTTGCGCAAACAATACTAAAATAACAACTTTTAGTTGCACACAAAAAGTATTCTCGTACTTGGAAAAAAAGTACGGTTGTACCACTGATGTCCCATCATCAGTGTTATGACGTCCTTACTACATTTCTGGACCTTGATCGTGATCTTGCTGTCTATGGAGGGTCAGAAAGCTCTCAGATTTCATCAATTTGTGTTCTGAAGGTGAACAAAGGTCTTAGAGGTTTGGAACGACATGAGGGTGAGTAATTAATGACAGAATTTTCATTTTTGAGTGAACTATCCGTTTAAGCTATATCGCAATTCTTGTCTTTCTGTCCCCAAATTTAAAACCTCTTGAAATCACAGTTAAGACTTTCTTGTACCATTTAAGACTTTTATGGCCTTAAATTTGATACAACTAAATTTAAGACTTTTTAAAACCTGTGGAAACCCTGAAGTTAGGATACTGTTTTCCTTCTCAGAAATCTGTATTGCTTTACCAATGATACACAGTACCCGAGAGAAAAAAAAAACACACTTAAAGGTATAGTTCACCCAAAAATGAAAATCAACCCATGATTTACTCACCCTCAAGCCATCCTAGGTGTATATGACTTTCTTCTGTCAGACAAATACAATCAGAGTTATAATAAAGGGGGGGTTAATAAAGGCATCCTGAAGCGAAACAATGTGTTTTTGTAAGAAAAATATCCATATTTAAGACTTTCTAAACCGTAATCTCTAGCTTCCGCTAACTGTCATACGTTCATGAGAGAGTGGCGTTCCAGCAGATGACACAGGATGCAGAGGAGAGAACAAAAAAAAAAAACACCGGTCATGAATTAAAAGTACAAAACAAGGATTTGTAAAGAAAAATGTCAGAGGATTTCGATATAAGCCAAGAGATTGGCTTTCTTTTGCTGTAAACAAAACTTGGTTCTCGTGAGACTAGCATATTCTCACCGGAGCTTACGCTACGCTTACATGCTCCGTCATCCTCTGGAATGCCACTCTCTACGACAGTTAGCGGAAGCTAGAGATTGCGGTTTATAAAGTTTTAAATATGGATATCAATTACGCTCAGGAAGCCTTTATTAACCCCCTGGAGCTGTGTGGGGCACTTTTTATGATGGATGGATGCACTTTATTGGCCTTCTATTGGACTATTGAATATCAACACCCATTAACTGCCATTATAAAGCTTGGAAGAGCCAGGACATTTTTTAATATCACTCCAATTGTATTCGTCTGAAAGAAGAAAGTCGTATACACCTAGGAAGGCTTGAGTAAGTGAGTAAATCATGGGGCAGTTTTCATTTTTGGGTGAACTATACCTTTAATTTACAATATTGAACAACCACAGTCGATACCATGATGTGCATTACCTGGTTCTAGCCATTTCCAGTTGGTGTAGGTGACCTGGTCTGCTGTCCCATCCTGACCGATCCAATGGTACTCCCTGGACCCTTTAGTGTCCTGTAGCCCCGTCCAGAAATACAACACCTCAGTGCTGATGTGCTCTTTCAGAAGACTGTTAATGAAGGCCTGTTCAAATCTAGAGGGAGGATTATACATCTTCATGTTACTAGAAAATTTCTAAATTAGAAACGAGTTTAGTTTTATTAATGGCTCACTATTATTCTTTATCATACTTGTGGTATAAAATTGTCATGTAACTCATTCTGCACTGTATGTTCTACAAACATGATGCTTCATATTATATGTTATTCCAGTTTTGAAAGATCAGACTTAATTCAAAGAGTCATATCTAGAGAGCAGTAGCCGGTTGCATAAACCGCTTAGACTAGTCTTTAAAAAATTTGTCAACTATTTTTTTATTAAGATTGGGCGTAACTTTTTAAAGTCAGTCATTAAAAATGCATTTAATCAGTTACCCCTTGGCTAACTGCTAGTTGGTAAAACTAGTTCTTAAGATACAGTCTTAATATAGTGGTTATGTTAAAGCAACTGGCAGCAGAATATTATTTTTTTTGTGGCTACTTTCTATGAGAAAAAAAAAATGTTTTGTTATTTTGTTCTTCTTTTTTCAAACTATTGTTCTTTTGCAGGAAAAATAATGTATCTGTTCCAGAATAAATACATTTTACATCTTGCATCTTGATATATTAGTGTGACATTCTAAACCAATGTATTCAGCGATACTATTAACTGTAAGATTATAGCTTTGTTTCATGCTGATCTTACGAATTGTAAATCAAATATATGTTAACAGTTACCTGTTATTAATGGTGATGTGGCAGCTGTTTTTATAGAACACCAGCTCAGTGTCCACTTTATAGCAAGCATTGCCATGTCTCTTCCAACTCTAGAGAGAAGAAAAAAACAGATGTCTGCTTATTCATGAATCAGATTCACATAGGCGGCAATAACAACAACATGAAGCACAAACATGATGTATATCCATGGAGTTAGAGTGAATTGTTATATAGTGATGGTCACTCACCCCGTCTGAAGGGCAGCCTTCCTCTGGGGCGCTCTCATTCACACTCCCATTCGACTTACACATGTAAGCCCTCGGCTTTTCACAATCAGACACAGACCATGTATGATGCTGCAAACACACATAGAGAAATTAGAGCCGAGCTAATATTCAGAACAGCGCTCTTATTTATGTGATATAATCTGACATGACGAAACACACACACACACACCTCTCCTGAATAGTACACGCAGTGGAAGGTATTTGGTAGAAGTGGTGGAGGTTGAGCTCTGGCCCAGTATGTGAAAGAAACTGGTACTTTATCGACCCATTCAAAAACTGAGGTGTTTCCATCACCCAAAAGACCAATCCATACCTCTGTCTTCAGATCTGTTACATATAAAGTCATAAAACATATAAAGTCTGTACAAATGAATGACACTGTATAATATATATATAACAAAAACAAATAACAAAAACAAATAATATACATAAATTATAATTATAAATTATATAATGTGTAACATAATAAATCCCACTGACAGATACTTGTTTTTATTTATGCATGCATTTGTTTAATTTTGTTCAATTACAAGATCTCAAGTGATATAAGAATGCTTAAATTTTTGCATCAGGAAACAAAAATACTGAGGAAAATATAGATTTTTTAGCAACGCATGCAACATTTAATGTCATGACTTTAAGGTTTTCCTTTTAAGGCCTTAAATTATAAAAAGGCAAAAAAAAAAACTTTTTAAGACCCACAGAAACCCTGATACATATATTAAAAAAAAATTACATAAAATGAATATTTTCTATATAATAAATATTTTATGTATGTATGTACGTACATGTGTGTACATACATACATACATACATACAAACACACATACATACAGTATATTACAGAGGAGTAATGCAGGTCAAAATAATCACACTTAAATAAGAAAAATTATTTAGTTCAGTTTTTGCATTTCCCATGCATTTTGAAAAACATTAAATCTGTGATGAGTTTACAGATACGTATTCTACAAAATATGCTATCCAGAGGGGGAAAAATGCAGAATACAATAATTACAATTCTTTCTTTATTTACAAGCTTTGTCATGCTAACTACATAAAAAACAAGACAGCTCAGAGATTAACATTAAACACAGTGATGACTTTACAATCGGCTTGCTTTCTCAGAACATGTGTTGTTGATACCCATGTGTGGTGAGATGTGTTTACCTGAGTGAAAATTTGTGTGTAGCATTTCAATATCCTCTAAACTGTGCATGCTGGCAAGCTCAGAGTCATCCATCCGACACATGCTCAGAGCTTCATGCTGGGACAGTTTTGACTCTGTTCTACTGTGGAGTTTATAACAGAATCCTTTCCACCCAATCCAACCCTCTTTACACGCCGTGGGCTTATATACCTCCCTGACTGCTGAAAGGAGAGGGAGAGAGACTGTGCTGTGAAAGTGAGGAAAAAAAGAAGGAAAACGGAACAAGAGGGCAGTATCTGACCTGTACTCTCACTGTCTTTGTCATTCTTCATGCAGATGAAGGGAAGCCGATTTTCACACGTCTCTGCGCCGAAACGCAGCGGCTCCTTCAGAACTCCACAGTCCTCGTCCGACATAAGGGATCTGATTGGGATGCCTAACAAACATGCCGCGTGACACACAAACGTAAAACTATATGCAAACAGTTTCATCGTGGTTATGTTTTATTATGAATTTTATTAGATTACGTTATTGGAGTTACTTCTCCAAGACTGTATGCAAATCATTTGCATAAAAAGTGTTTATAGACACAGTTCATTGTATTGACAGCACACACATGGGGTGAGGAGAGACAAACCACCCACATCATCACAGCTGACAATGCTGTCATCACAGAGACAGATTCTGCCTGTGTCTACTGCATAAATACGCCGTTCAAATCATCAGTTTGTTCTTCTAGCAAAACAACTATCCTTGTATGCCCACAGTCACGCTGCCACATTAACAGCGACAGAAAGGTCATTGTCAGTGGCTGCACAGTACTCTTGTACCAAGACAAGTGAAGAGAAGATAAGATAAAAGAACTGGTCTTCCTTGATCTGCTTAACCTAAATCACTGTGAATCTGAATAACCATCACGCCATATATATAATGTACTGTAGATGTAGGGCACAACAGATGGTGACACAGTGGGTTGGAAAGAAAAAAACCTTTCAAAAGGAAAATATTATGTCAGAGATTCCACCTCTTCCATATGTTTACCAGAACAACATGCGGTTGAACTATCCCTTTAAAACATAAAAGAACAGTAATCTACTACAAGATTCTTTATAATACATACAATTTTGGTTCAAATCACCTGTTTCCCAAGGGGCAAAATATAAAGCTGATCCATCTGACCACTGCCAACCCTGCATCCAGTCCAGATGGTTCAAGCCGATCCACAGCTTGCTTGGCAAGTCTTTCTGATTTTTAACTGCAGGGGGAAGGAGATAAACAATGAATAATACACACAGTAAAAATACAAACTTAACTACAAGGTCATTTAAAGCTGACGTGTGTCATTTTGCACCAAAAATAATAAGTGTTTTCAAACAGGTTTCTCTAACACTCCCACAGCTGCTACTGGTCAGACAAACAAATAGCCCCACCCCTGAACGTATGCTATTGGCTGAGCCAGTGTTGCTAAGTCAGCCATGGAGCAATGGTTGGAAAGTGGTATGAAGTCAGGGAATTTTCAACAAAGCCAACCTACTAATGGCCCACTTAGAGTTGTCAGTCCACATTAACATGGAGTGGGCGACAGCATTTGAAGAATATGGAGATGCATAAGTAGTTTTACAACTCAAATGTGCATGAATTAATAATTGTCCAGCTGGGGTTGATGCTAATGGGTAGGCAAGATCTCTAATGGATATCTGGATACTGAAAATGTGACTACGCAGAGAGAGAATTCATCAAAACTGACAGTAAAGACTTAAACTATTATCAAAAAATATGTCAAATAAATGCATTCAATCAGTAAATAAACAAGTCAATTTATCATAAAATATGATTATCATGGTCTCCACAAAAATTATTAAGAAAGTTATTCAAATACATATATATATTAGACAGTACAGTCATTTTCAACACTGATAATAATGAGAAATGCTTCCTGAGCAGCAAATCAGCATATTAGAATTATTTCTGAAAGGATCATGTGACATCATGTGACTGGAGTAATGATTCTGAAAATTCAAAAATAAATTATATTTTAAAATATATTCATTGTAATAATATTTAAACTATTTTTTAAATACTTCTAATAACACTAATAGCATAATTTTATTAATATTTTTTATTGTATTTTTTGCTTAAAAAACAGACTTGGTGAGCATAAGAGACTCAAAAAAACAAACCTCAAACTTCTGAACAGTACTCTATATATAACACAGAGCTGATCCTCCCTATACACAAAATACGCAAGCTGCGTAGGGCCCCCGAAACACCAGGGGGCCCCCTTGCTCTCAAAGATGATTTAATTTTAGTGAAATGAAAACATGAATGATAATTTATTTTAATGCAGTGCGCTTTCGCCCTTTCTACGTAAAAATCAGTCAAATCATGTAATGTGAATGTCGTACAGTCTTGCTCGAGACAAAAATAACCGCAGAAGAGACACTGTTTCTCAAGCGCTTTCCGCGAGCGCGATTCGAGACAAAAGTGAAAATGAGAAATTAGTCTTACAGAACTCAAGCTCTTGAGGGCTAGACACGCTGAGCAGATCTCCGCCTTGACTACGACAGGCATCCCGCGCCTCGTGCCAGGTCACCACCGCTGTGGAGACGACCTGATAGCAGCGTCCTTTCACTGGGGCTTTCTCCCATAAATCAATGCATCCTTCCACTAAATAAAAGAAAACCGGTAGGAGGTTAGTTACAATTCTTTCATTATACAAACCTCCATCTGTTTGACTCCTACCCTTATGTGATTCTTTCATTCTGTCTCTGACCTTTGAAGAGTCGCAATCTTTTCCATGTTTCTTCAGAACGTATAAGAAGTCATATTAAAGGAATGTGCAACAGAGTTAAAATGGCTTTGCGAGAAGACAACAGAGTAAAAAGGGCAGCTTAAACCAGCATGAGTTCTACTTAAAACCTAGCAGGTTAAAACCTAGGTCAGTATGGCGTTTGATGGGAAATGGTTGACTAAAGTGTTCTGCTCAAATGTGACACATCTGTGGCATAATTTCTCAGAAAAAGCATTTTATAAAACCCATATCTCTTACGGTATTTATTTACAGTATTTATTTAAATTGAAATTTGTTACATTTAAATAATTTCTGAATAAACAAAAAGTGTTTGTAGATAAAAAAGACAATGTGTTCAGAAAATAAATATTTGTTGTATTTATTTATTTAGATAAGAAGAGTTCATACATAAAAAGATGTGCGCAGTAATATAAATAAATTATTTAAAGGGGTCATGAATTGAGAAATCAAATTTTCTTTGATTTTTTTTTTACATGTCTTTTATTTTTTATCATTTTGACAATTTTTTATGTAAAAATGATACTAACATTATAAGTGCACCTTAGGAAAAATTACGAAACAATGCAGGTCACAACCCCTTTAAGAAACATTTTTCATTGAAAGTTATTTCATTTATTAATTTCATAATAAAATGTGTTCTTAATAAGCCATAAATAGATAAATAAATAAATAAATAATGAATAATGTATAAATATATTTATTTACATTTTTTTTCAAATTGAAAGTTTAAAGTTGTTATTTAATTTATTAATTTCCTAATTTAAAAAGTGTATGCTTAAATAAATAAATACATTTGTTTTCTGCATACATTGTTTTTCTTTTAATAAAAATAAATAATTGTAATTGTAAATTAAACAACTTCAACTTTCAATTTGAAAACAAGTCTATCCCTATATTATATTAATTACATTCATTAGCATTGTTATATGCTAATTAGCAACTTATAGTCAATAGTTTAATGTCTCAGTGTTTTGTAAAATGAGTCACATGTACTTTGTCTTTCTAGCTGCTCTCTAGGAAAACCCCAGGAGAGGTTGAGGGAAGTAAACCTTACCATGCTTCAGGCAATTCCCCCACTTCTTCTGTAGATCATAGTTTGCTGTGGTGGAGCACCAGTCCAGCGTCTTGTCTTCAGTGCCAGGCAGACAGCTGTGGTGCCAGGTCCCATTGTAGAGAAAGGGGAACTCACAGGGTGCCCCGTTAGAATTCCCCCCGCTTGTGTGCATCCCTGAGAAACAAGGGAACAAGAATTCATACTGTTTGTAGGTTTGTGTAGCTAAAACGGACAAAATCTCCCCTCTGACATCCTCAGAGGAACAAATGACTCATGAATAAAATCAAATGTTCCTCACGGTGGAAACAGGTGGTAATTTTATTTTTTGATTTAGTTAGAGTGAAGATCTCATCTCGCCACATAGATCTTCCTTAAATCACCATTCACTACAGATTTTGAAAGGAAGTTGACTGAATGCTCATGTACTACTACTATACGATTCTAACATACAATGACATGATGAAAAATTATATAACAGAACTCTCGTGGGACCTTTTTGGCTACATTCATTCACACAGTCAGTGAATAAAAGCCTTGATCTCTGTTTGAAACCTGCAATTGCAGTTATTTGTGGAATTATCATCTTTACATGGGTTGAGCATCGGCACGGCTCCTCAGCGCGGATGAATCTAATGTTTTGAGGTGTATGTGCGGCTGTCAGTCAACACCAGTGTGGATATTCACTGTACTTCGTAATTACAGATACTATGTCTTGGAAGTATGTCCAAAATAAGAAGTTTAACCAGAAAATCTCATCTGAAGTAACATGTCTGCATGTTTTGTTCTGACCAACTAAAAAAAAATGATAATAAATCGCACTATCAATGGTGATTAAATCCAACGATTGCAAAGTTTGCTCAGATCACATTAAAACATGCAAATTATTATTATTGTTATACTTTGTTCTCAAATTGTTAATGTTAACAACATCAACACTGCATGACTGTGTGTATTTAGTGTGTATTGGCGTTATCTGTGGATTTACAGTACATTTCTGTAGTCTATCTCTAATTGTCATACCATTCGAATTTCATCTAAAAGAAATTGTTCTTTTAACCTGTTCTTTTGAACTCATTCTATTTGAAATACAAATCTTCTTCTGGCTATATAAGCGGGCGTTCAACACCTCTGTCAAATCGGAAGTATGAGGGTCTTTGCCGCGGTTTAGACACCATGCGGAGAAAAAAGACCACTTAAGGGCGTAGAGGCCAATCTTTTTATACCCAATTATGTTGCCAATTGACCTAATAAGTTGCAAATTGGTCCTCCAGCTGATACTTTGTTCTCAAATTGTTAATGTTAACAACATCAACACTGCATGACTATGTGTATTTAGTGTGTATTGGCGTTATCTGTGGATTTACAGTACATTTCTGTAGTCTATCTCTAATTGTCATACCATTCGAATTTCATCTAAAAGAAATTGTTCTTTTAACCTGTTCTTTTGAACTCATTCTATTTGAAATACAAATCTTCTTCTGGCTATATATAAGCGGGCGTTCAACACCTCTGTCAAATCGGAAGTATGAGGGTCTTTGCCGCGGTTTAGACACCATGCGGAGAAAAAAGACCACTTAAGGGCGTAGAGGCCAATCTTTTTATACCCAATTATGTTGCCAATTGACCTAATAAGTTGCAAATTGGTCCTCCAGCTGTTCCTTATATGTACATTTAACTTTTCCGGCCTCTTATTGCTACCTGTCCCAACTTTTTTGGAATGTGTAGCTCTCATGAAATCCAAAATGAGCCAATATTTGGCATGACATTTCAAAATGTATCACTTTCAACATTTGATATGTTATATATATTCTATTGTGAATAAAATATAAGTTTATGAGATTTGTAAATTATTCCATTCCTTTTTTACTCACAATTTGTACAGTGTCCCAACTTTTTTGGAATTGGGTTTGTATTTATTTAGATAAGAAGAGTTCATACATAAAAAGATGTGCGCAGTAATATAAATAAATTATTTAAAGGGGTCATGAATTGAGAAATCAAATTTTTGCCGTGGTTTAGACACCATGCGGAGAAAAAAGACCACTTAAGGGCGTAGAGTCGTCTCGTAGATGGGGCTCTAGCCTCCGAAATTGTGTTCAAGACTCGCTCTGGGAGGCTTGAAGGCTCCCGTCGAGCAGCCAGAGGTGCAGGGCCCACAGATCGGGCCGAGGATGCCATATTGTCCCGTTCGCTTGAGAGAGGAGATCCCGTCTCAACGGAATGAGCTGGTTCATCCAGAGAGGAGCCACCAGGAGAACCTTGTGTTTTTGTTCCCTTACTCGCCTGATTACCTGTGGGATCAGGGCGATCGGGATAAAAGAAAAAAGAAGGAGGTTGGGCCAATCGTGGGCCAACGCGTCCCTGGTCTTTGAATAATAAATTGGGCAGTAAGAGTTGTCTTCTGAGGCGAAGAGGTCTACCTCGGCCTCGCCGAAGATCTCCCAGATCCTCTGAACCGTCTGCGGATGGAGCGTCCACTCCCCTGAGGGGACATTGCTCCTTGATAACATGTCCACTCCTTGGTTTAATTTGTCCGGTATATGCGCTGCTCTCAGCGGGCGCAGGTTGAGTTGAGCTTATTCCAGGAGGCGCTCTACCAGAATGAAGAGACGCTTCAAGGAGAGGCCTCGCTGGCGATTTATGTAGGACACCAGAGACATGTTGTCCGATTGGATTAGCACATGGTGCCCCTTTAGGACTGGCAGGAAGAACTGACAGGTTCGACAGCCTTTTTCCACCGTCGACCAGTGGCCGAAAGTCGGTATGCCCTCGCACAACACCCCCCCCAACCTGAGTTGGAGGTGTCTGTCGTGACAATTGTCATTCTGTAAACCATCCCCATGGTCACGCCCTGTTCCATCCAGCGGGAGCTCTTCCAGGGGGCCAGGGCTGTTACACACATCCGTGACGCCACGCACGCATGGGATGGAACCCGTGGTTTCAACTAGCGCTGAAGGGGGCGCATATGAAGCAAACCCAACTGTAGTGCTGGCGATGCCGCCACCATGAGGCCCAGCATCCTCTGAAACGTTTTGAGAGGGCGAGTGGTACCAATCTTGAAGGAGGTCGCCAGCCTCCGTATGGCCAGAGCCCGTTCCGGCGCAACTACAGCTCTCATTTGGGCTGAGTCGAAAATTGTTCCCAGGAACGATATCCGCTGGCTGGGGGACAATGCGCTCTTGGCAAAATTGACCCTGAGTCCCAGGCACTCCAGATGGCTGAGGAGGAGGGTCCTGTGTGATATTATCTCTGCCTCCGACTGGGCCAGAACGAGCCAGTCGGCAAGGTAGTTGAGAATGCGGATTCCCATCTGTCTCAGAGGGGAGAGAGCCGCGTCCATGCACTTCGTAAAAGTGCGGGGGGGCCAGGGATAGCCCGAAGGGAAGGACCGTGTATTGATAAGCCACTCCCTCGAACACGAATCTCAAGAATCGCCTGTGACGGGGGGCTATCTGGATGTGAAAGTATGCATCCTTCATTGTGTTTTTGTTCCCTTACTCGCCTGATTACCTGTGGGATCAGGGCGATCGGGATAAAAGAAAAAAGAAGGAGGTTGGGCCAATCGTGGGCCAACGCGTCCCTGGTCTTTGAATAATAAATTGGGCAGTAAGAGTTGTCTTCTGAGGCGAAGAGGTCTACCTCGGCCTCGCCGAAGATCTCCCAGATCCTCTGAACCGTCTGCGGATGGAGCGTCCACTCCCCTGAGGGGACATTGCTCCTTGATAACATGTCCACTCCTTGGTTTAATTTGTCCGGTATATGCGCTGCTCTCAGCGGGCGCAGGTTGAGTTGAGCTTATTCCAGGAGGCGCTCTACCAGAATGAAGAGACGCTTCAAGGAGAGGCCTCGCTGGCGATTTATGTAGGACACCAGAGACATGTTGTCCGATTGGATTAGCACATGGTGCCCCTTTAGGACTGGCAGGAAGAACTGACAGGTTCGACAGCCTTTTTCCACCGTCGACCAGTGGCCGAAAGTCGGTATGCCCTCGCACAACACCCCCCCCAACCTGAGTTGGAGGTGTCTGTCGTGACAATTGTCATTCTGTAAACCATCCCCATGGTCACGCCCTGTTCCATCCAGCGGGAGCTCTTCCAGGGGGCCAGGGCTGTTACACACATCCGTGACGCCACGCACGCATGGGATGGAACCCGTGGTTTCAACTAGCGCTGAAGGGGGCGCATATGAAGCAAACCCAACTGTAGTGCTGGCGATGCCGCCACCATGAGGCCCAGCATCCTCTGAAACGTTTTGAGAGGGCGAGTGGTACCAATCTTGAAGGAGGTCGCCAGCCTCCGTATGGCCAGAGCCCGTTCCGGCGCAACTACAGCTCTCATTTGGGCTGAGTCGAAAATTGTTCCCAGGAACGATATCCGCTGGCTGGGGGACAATGCGCTCTTGGCAAAATTGACCCTGAGTCCCAGGCACTCCAGATGGCTGAGGAGGAGGGTCCTGTGTGATATTATCTCTGCCTCCGACTGGGCCAGAACGAGCCAGTCGGCAAGGTAGTTGAGAATGCGGATTCCCATCTGTCTCAGAGGGGAGAGAGCCGCGTCCATGCACTTCGTAAAAGTGCGGGGGGGCCAGGGATAGCCCGAAGGGAAGGACCGTGTATTGATAAGCCACTCCCTCGAACACGAATCTCAAGAATCGCCTGTGACGGGGGGCTATCTGGATGTGAAAGTATGCATCCTTCAGGTCCAGAGAAAAGAATCAGTCTCCTGAGCGAATTTGCGCAAGGATCTGTTTCAGTGTAGTCATCCTGAACGACTTTTTCATGAGGGCGTGATTCAGGTGTCTGAGATCGAGGATGGGCCGGAGGCCACCATCTTTTTTGGGGACGAGGAAGTAACAGCTGTAGAAGCCTGACTCACTCTGGGCTGGAGGAACCTTTTCTACAGCTACTTTTGCCAGCAGATTCATCACCTCTGAGCGCAGGACGAGAGCATCCTTGCTTTGCACTATGGTGGGGATCACGCCGCTGAAGCGTGGGGGTCTTCGAGCAAATTGGAGTAAATATCCTCATTTTATTATCCCCATAACCCATCTCGACACTCCGGGGATGACACTGCCAGACCTCTGCCCGCGCGGCGAGGGGTTGAATTAACTCGAGTGACTGGCCGCATGGGGGCAGAACACTTGAGAGTAATGGAAGCGGAAGTTTGCTCTCTTTTT